CGAACGAGCACTTGAAATCTCGAAAATAGCTCTCCCTCCGAATCATTCCTTCTTGGCTGCTTCCTACAACAACATTGGCAATGTGTATAATAAGATGGGCGAGTACTCGAAAGCACTTTCATCGTATGAACGATCACTTGAAATCTCGAAAATAGCTCTCCCTCCGAATCATCCCGACTTGGCTGGTTCCTACAACAACTTCGGTTTAGTGTATGCTGACATGGGGGAGTACTCGAAAGCACTTTCATCGTACGAACGAGCGCTTGAAATTCGAAAAACAACTCTCCCACCAAGTCATCCCGGCTTCGCTCACTCCTACAACAACATCGGTAATGTGTATTATAACATGAGCGACTACTCAAAAGCACTTTCATCGTACGAACAATCACTTGAAATCTCAAAAATAGCTCTCCCTCTAAATCATCCGGACTTGGCTATTTTCTACAACAACATCGGTTTGGTACATGATAAGATGGGCAACTACTCGAAAGCACTGTCGTATTACGAAAAAGCCCAAGAAATCTGGAAAAAATCACTGCCTTCAAATCATCCACATATTGGACTTGTGAAAAGAAACATTGAAAATGTAAGAAAGAAAATGTAATTTTTTTTAAGCGAGAAAATAAATTGCTCTTCTTGAACACAAAGCTTGCCGAAGCGTACCAGCTGTAAAATTTCGCGCACTTGCGACGAGGGATACCCTCTGTATTCTGTTGGGTTGTACAGTGGACAAAACCGGCAATGGTTAGGCAAACATAAATTTACGTAGGTATGACTAGTACATCCATGATCATCATCTTCGGAAAGACGATGATCAGATGGACTCTTCTACTCATACATACATAGATGTATGTTATGAAGGCCTACCATCTGCATGCCTGTGCAGGTTACTAACAGAACGTCGGATATCCCTGGGAAGGTTAATTTGATTTAGAGCGACCCCCGAAAGCTCCTTTTCTTTACAAATGTGTGTTCTTCTGTTACGAAGAACGAGAAGAAGAAGAAACAGAAATGGAAGGAAGAAAAGGTAAAATAGACAGACGTGAGAAAGACCACGTCGACGTTACGTAGTGATAATACGCAGTGTACAATAACAACAACCGGTTTGTGTCGATATGGAAAAGAATCGAGCGCACGACATCTTTGTCGTCTTTAAACATTTCGTGTTCAATTGATTTGTTTTTCATTTCGAATATGTAAGAACAACTTGAATGTCGTGTACTTGATATTCAAGCAAACGAATGATGATCGAACAAAACAGGAGAAAGAGAAAAACCAGAAAATTCGAATTTAAGAATGAAGATGAACGTCATTTCATTTTTCTTTGTGTTGAATTGTATTTTGTAAAATATTATATCTGATATATATTTAAACATATGGGGTTGGCCAGTCTGGCCGGATACCCCATTGATATTTTTTCTATTGTAAGGATAAAATATACTATTGTTCGGGTCATATGAGAGAGGGTCATAGATAACCATAGATTGACCCGAATAATACCATGTGTTATCCTTACAATAGTAGAGACAAGTTACGAGGTCATAGATCAGCTG